AATTACTCCCAGTTTTATTGTTTGTCTTTGAGAATAAATTCACCAGGTCACTTGGAAACATTATTTCTAAGGTTGAATACCTAGTGCCCCTGATAGCAGAGACTATCCTGGTGTACACAGACATAACTGGGGCCATCTCTACCTTTCCCAGGATCAAGACTAAAAAGATCTTTCCATATCCTCTTAAGTTAGACATCTTGTACAAAGTCACTTCTATAAAGGTAAAGGCTCAAAAAACAGAGTCCAGAGGGACAAAGCTCCAGAATATGGGACAGAAACAGAGCACTGAATTTTGTTAAGAAGGAGAACAATACCATCTGGTGGAAATCAACCAAGAGCATCACCTGATGTTTTCCAGGGCCTCACATTAGACCACCTTCCACCTACTTCAATTTCTGGCATCCCATTAAGAATAAACTCATTTTGTTTATACGGAGTAATACTTTCCTAGCTTATATAAGTGAGGGATAGTTAGTCTCTGACATCATATCTAGAGCTGTCATTTGATTCAGTTCAAGTCAACAGATCCTGTCACGACAACTTCTAACTGCCCCTAGCATCCGTCCTCCTGCACTACTCTTATACCACACCCAACCCTATTCTTGAGTTTGAGCAGGGCCTACGGCTACCTGGCTAGCCTTTCCTGAAGTCAGGAGTCCATAAAATTGCTTGCCCTCCTCTTTTTCTCTTTTCCTCTTCTGGGGACAGGGACAGAGCCAAAGAACAGTCGAGACTGCCTCAACCACACAGATGAGGAAAATCCCAAGCAATCAGATGGAAGGGAACTGAAACCATGCAGACGAGGGTAACCCCAGGAGAATGCCACGGTAACAGAAAGATGGAAATCAAATCTCCAAGTCCATGAATAGAATTCTGCCTTCGCTTAAGCATTCACTATGTGAGAAAGTCTCTGTTTGGGGGCTCTTTATTATAGTGGCTTAGTTTTTACCCAAACCACTTTAGATTCTTGCTCAATGTTCCTTGCTCAAACCCTCCTTGTCATGCCAGAACTTGAGGCCAGGCCTCCGAGTTCCAGAGGGCACAAGAGGAAGCAGACTTCCATTCTGCCATTCCAGATCCCTGACACTGCACTTGCCTGGCACCAGGAGGCCTTCGGAACTAATCAACATGAAGGAAATCTTGTCAAGGAGTGGTCTACCACATCTTAACTCTCAGGGCACTAGTTTGTCATTGTTTTCTCATAACTTCACTATAAGAAGTCCTATAGGACTAACTTCCTATATTAAGGCTCATGGGAGGACTTAAGAAGCAATCTTTATAGAAGAGAAGCAGATCCTGCCAGACTATAGCAAGACCAAAAGAAAGTCCACACAGCCATGTTTCAGTTCTGAGCAGAAACAGATTGAGGACAATATGTGATGGGAGCCAGGACTTGGGTTATAGACTTGGCTCCACCTCAGAAGCATGGAAGTGTGGCCACCCTACTCAAGGGCCTACTTGCTGTATTTGGTTAAAAAAAAAAAAAAAAAAATGGGGGAAGGGTAGGTTATAAAAGCCCACACACTCCAGTAAGAGTTATACATCTTTTTCAGAGCTTACATGAACTTAGGTCATCTGACATGTAGAATATAACCACAGAAGGAAATTCACACTTTAGTTTCACTCCTCAAACTTTGGGTCATTAAAAGCAAGAAGTCTAGATCCAAAAAGCCTAAAATTTCCATATGAGCAAGTCACCAAGAAACAAATATATTAAGCAACTAATCATGCTAGAGAGCAAGTCTTGCCAACAGTCACTCTTTTGGCAGCTTTCAACCCAGCTTTCAACTTTACTAGGCTTGAGCCTAGGAATTAAAAAACCAGTCTGGGCAACATAGCAAGACTCCATTTCAAAAACAAAACAAACAAACAAACAAACAAAAAAAMCCCTTTTTCTTAAAAAGGTTAATGTGGTAGATTTTATATTACGTATATGTTACCACAATTAAAAACAAAAAATTCAGAATGTGCACCAAAATAAAACACGCTATATCTTTTTTTTCTTTTGACTGGGATTGAACCCAGGGTACTTTACTAATAAGCTACATCCCCAGCCCTTTCTATTTTTTTGATTTTGAGAAAAGGTTTTGCTAACTTGCTAAGGGCCTTGCTAAGTTGCTGTGGTTGGCCTCAAACTTCTTATCTTTTGCCTCAGCCTTCCAAGCCATTGGGATTACAGGCGTCTACCACTATGCTTGGCAATACATTATATCTGGATAGTGGCACCAGCTACATGGGTGCATATATTTTCAGAATTCAATAAGTTCTTAAAATAGATGAATTTAATTGTTAAATTAAATTTAACAATTAAATTTAAAAATGGTCGATACCTTTAAAAAGGAATGTTGATAATATAACATTGTGCCTGATTTTGTGAATTTTCTACTTCTCAAATTTATCCCACCCCCATTCAGTACCAAACCAGACTCCTCCTGAAAGTTTCAGGTACAATACTTACTGCAAAATGCTCATTTTGAGCTGCAGGCCGTGCAGAACCTCGATCACTCTCTGCACATCACCAAGAAGCTGGTGGGTGGCCACAATCTTCTTGGCATTCTGATGGGAGTAGTTCTCTTCTAGAAATGCTAGGCCATGCATATGTCCCCTGCTCATCCACTCCTTGTCATACCAGTACTTGAAGCCAGGCCTCTGACCTAAAGCAATGACAATGAAAGGGTTAAGCATGGCCTGGAGGAAATCCAGGTCATTTCATCATTAGATAATCATTGCATGAACTACTGAAAGATGGACCGCTGTGTTCATTTTGTTCATTTATTCATCCAGTGTACACTCAGTTTACACTGACTCCATGCTGGACTCTCCGCTAGGTGTTGGGGATGAGGCATCTACATTCCCTGATCTCACAGAATTGGCCAGAGGTGGAATATGAACCTGAGTTATATCTTTAAATTTAAATCATGTCGTTCCCTTCCCTACTTAAAATCTTCTGCTACTTTCAGCCACTCACTGAAGAAAACCCCAAATCCTAATTCTGGCTAATGGAGGCCTTCAGTACCCAGCAACTTCCCTCCCTCTTCTCCCCAACCTTACATGGCTTCCTCTTAGTTTCTAGAATACACACACACACACACACACACACACACACAAACCTCTTCCCAGGCTTGGCCTCTTGGTTCTATTCTAGCACCCCGTCGGTCTGGAGCACTATTCCTCTAGGACACTGCAGGGGTGGTTTCTTACCATCTCCTCAGAAAGGCCTCTTGCTACACCTCCCAAAGTTAAGAGAGCTTTTCAGAACCATGGGTCATTCCCTCTTTTAATGCCCCCCTCCCAACCACAGTTTCATCTCTACCTAACAAAATTTTGTTTATTTACCTCTTTTTTAACATCTGTTTCTGTTCTCAATCCCTCTAAGAATCAAAAGGAATAGGAACCATCAAGTTCAAGGTTGTAGCTAGAGTGCCTAGCAAAAATCACCTTGAATCAATTTACCAAAAAAATGGAAAGAAGCTCCAATTCCCATTACAACTGTACCATCTATTACAACTGTACCGTCCTTCCCTTCTCTGGACCTCTATTTCCCATCTGTTACACAACAGGGATGCTTCAGTGGTCCTACTCATTAAAAGGCCTCCTTAGGAAAGACTAAAACCATAAGCACAGGTGACTCAGTAACATTTTCTAATCCAAAAGGCTAGGATACAGCTTCTAACCAGATTGTGGGTTGTTCATCTGTCAATAACTACAAAAACCTGAAGTAACCCAGGTAATCTCTTATCAAGATCCTTGGACTTCTGGCCTTTACAACACACACAGTAGAGAGACAACTTGATTCTGTTAAAAACATTTTTAAGAATTGAATCTGTTAGGTTAAACCTTTGGTCCAACCTACTCAGAGTCAAATAGTCTATAAAAAAAGGACATGTGACAGATATTCAAGGCTCAGTTCAAGGAAGAGTCTATCCACAGTCTTGCCAATTAAAAACTTACACAAGAAGTTCAGAAAGTTCACAGGACATGCTGAAAACAGTGTGTGCAATTTCTAAAGAGGGAAAAGTTGAGAGAAAGACAAGGTAAAAAGACATTTAAAGGGTGTCCTAGGGAGCCTTTGAGATTATGGGGAGAACCTCACAGGCAGTTGCTGTAGCAGGGCTCTAGTAGCAGGATTCAGAATAGCACTTCCTATTTTATAAGACAAAAGTCAAAACCTTTGTCTCTGGTTCTCATCACCTGTCTGGCATTAACTGGTGGAGTGATCTTTGGCTAATCAGATTTTTTCCAGGTTTGTGTTTGCTCATCTATCTAACCACCTGACCATATATTTTCCTGGGGATAAAGAGACAAACAGAGGCAGATTCTTCTCTATCTATGCACTAATCTTGTACAAATAAAGATAGTGTCACAATAGAGGTCTTCAGAATCTGATTGTTGGAAATGAACAATGGTGGTCAGTTCCTCCCTATATAACCAGAAAAATCAAGAGATTTGGCACCACAAACCTGTTCTAACTCCAATTACTTTATGAGGTTAGGAAGGTCATTTGTATCAATCTTTTTCCTCATGAGCAAATGAGAGTAGAAGACCCACCTGGCCATCTCATAAAATCAAGCAAAATAACAGAAATAGAGGTTCCCATGCATTGTCTACCTACAATGGAATTTGGAGGACAGGAGGTAACGGAGAGATGGCAGAGGTGGTAAAGGGAGATTATGTCACCATCTCACTGACAGCAGGATGAGAGAGAGGTTTACAATCCTCCCGTCTGGAAAGAGGTATACAAGAGCCACAGGTGGCCCCTGTAACCACAAAATTAAATGGTCCTGCTATCAAGACACTGCTCTGGGTGGCAATAAGTCCTAAGCAATCATGCCATTGCCCTTACCCTCCAGGGCACCTCTCCTTTCCAGGTGGCAATGACCCAACAGGTGGGAGATGTCACCACAGGAAACAGAGGCAGGTTTCTAATCCTCCAGTATCCCCAAAAAGCCAAGGATGGAACCCACATGTCATTCCTCACTAGCCCTCAAGAAAAGGAAAAGGTGCCCATGCAGAAGCACATATGCTAAAACTTGGATCACTAACAGAAGATTAACAGGGCCCTGAGCAAGGATGAAATGCTAATTCATGGAGCATTCAGTATTCTTATAATAGAGTTTCAATCAAGCCAGATGAAAGTGTTTATCATGAACAATTGTACTGAATGCAAAGTAGATATTTTTTGTTTTTGTTTCCAACCACAATTTAAAAAAAGAAAAAATTCTAACTCAAGGCCAGGTCTTCTACACATACTCTCTCATAGGTAAGTTCAGGAGAACTGGCCGCCAGATGGGCTAAAAAGGTGAGGAGGAATCAGAGTCCAAATGATAACGAAGAAATGAGTCTCAAGATCACATACACTTAGGATGTTTCATGATCAGCTGTGCTAAGGAAAAGGCTATATATTGTTAATACCCCTGATTTTAGAAATCTCTACCTGGAGGGTCTTGGCAAACATAACAGGTGTATTTCTCGGGCACATTTTCTTCCAGTAATCCCATGCAGACCCCATGCTGCCAGCACTGGCACTCTTCACACTGTTAGAATTAAAGAAGCAACAAAAATTAAACTCAGAAGGTGTCCTCTAACAAAAAGTATGATCCACTTGCTAGAGGAACAGGTAGAATGAGAAGGGAGGGAGCCTCCACTCCCTATACTGACTTCTAAACCACTATCTAATGTGGTAGCCACTGGCCACATGAGGCTGTATAGTTAAATAAATAAGTTAAAAAGTCAGTTCTCAGTACCCCAGGCCACCTCTTTAATGCCCAGCAGATACATGAGGCTAGCAGACACTGCATAGTATAGATAAAGAACATTTAGATATATTAAACAGTGCTGACCTCAAAATAATGAGGGTTTCACTTCCATTTCTAGAGGATTTTACTTTCCTGATTACTTTATGGGAATTGAATGAAAATCATTTAGATCTTTAGAGAACTAGACTAACTTGGAGTGACAAAAAGCTGAGTTTGCATTACGGCTCATTCATCAGCTGTGTGACTCTGCACATGTCACTTATCCCTGGGCTTCAGTTTCCCCATCTGTAGAATGGGATACTATTTATATACATCTGTGAGGATTCAATGATTCATATACAAATCACCCACTATAGAGCCTAGCACACGGCTTTATGTATTAAATTTCTTTTACTAATGGACAACCAATTCACTTTGATCCCCTTGGAATAATCATGATAACATTTCACATTTATTCTATCCAAACATTATCAAATATCATACAACTGGTTAAGAGGCAAAGGTGGATGAGAACATGAACTTGGCTAATTGTATAACTAACTGTTTTAACCCCTAGGCTCTACTGCCTTCCCTGGGTATTGGAGAGTAGAGGTAAAGTGGTAGGAAGCTGAAAAGGAAAGGAAAGATTTAATGAGGGTGGCATTGGGAGACAGTAGAGAGCCACAGTCTGAAGCTAAAGGTCCAGAGGAAGGAATCGAGAGAAAAGGCAGTCTTCCAGAGACAAAGAACAAGGACACTTCAAACAATTCCAATCTAAATTCCTAAATCTTAATTACCCAACCAACAGATAAGCACTGGGGTGGACAGTGAGCTTCTGATATGACTCTGATGGTGGGCCACCAGTCCAGCAACAAGGAAATAGAAAATCAAAGCTTAGACAATCCTCAACCATTTGAAGTCAATAAGTCTCAGCAACAAGAAGGCTTCCCTGGGCAAATATAAGACTACTAGTAAACTAACCACACCAAATCACCATGGGCAGAACTAGAAGGGAGACCTCAGATAAGAGTCTCCAATTTACCCCTATGAAAACTAAAGCTCTGAGAGGAAAAGTAAAGTGTATAAGACAATAAAGGCAATTAGTAGCAGAAAATAATTATGATTAATAATTATGAATGAAAGTCAGGCTAAGTGCAATGGCACATGCCTGTACTCCCAGCTATTCAGGAGGGTGGGGCAGAAGGATCACAAGTTGATGCCAGTCTCAACAATTTAATGAGATGCTGTCTCAAAAAAATAAAGAATAAAAAGCGTCAGGATGTAGCTCAGTGGTAGAGTGATCCTTGGTTCAATCTCCAATACTGAAAAGAGAAGAAAGAAAATCTGTCTCATGGGAGGGGAGGGGGCATGGGGGTAGGAATGACAGTAGAATGAATCACACATTATTACCCTGTGGGTATATATGATTATACGACCTATGTAAGTCTACATCACGTACAACCAGATGAATGAGAAGTTATACTCCATTTACGTATGATGTGTCAAAATGCATTCTACTGTCATGTACACCTAATTAGAACAAATAAAATATATTTTAAAAAATAAAATAGCATGTGAATTTGCAAAATAAGAAAAAGAAAATCTGCCTCACCAATGACTTTGTATCATGAGAACTAGGACTCACCAAAAATAAGTCGAATACAGCTAAATTTCAAAATTCATAGTGATGAATTTTCATATGGGTCTGGCATATATATATTATTCATTTAAAAAGTTTAAATTTAGGGGCTGGGGATGTGGCTCAAGCGGTAGTGCGCTCGCCTAGCGTGCATGCGGCCCGAGTTCGATCCTCAGCACCACATACCAACAAAGATGTTGTGTCTGCCGAGAACTAAAAAATAAATATTAAAAACACTCTCTCTCTCTCTC